TCAAAAAAGTGAATAGACAACCCAAAGAACAGGAGAAAATTTCTGAAAATGTTATATCTGATTAAAGTCTAGTATCCAGAATATATAAAGAACTTTTACAACTCAATAATAAAATGACAACCTAATTAAAAAATGGAGAAAGGATCTAAATAAACTTTTCTGGAAAGAAGATATGCAAATGGCCAATAAGCACATGAAAAGATGTTCAAAATCATTAGTCAGGGAAATGCAAATCAAAACCACAATGAGATACCACTTCACTCCTACTAGGATGGCTATAATAAAAAAGACAGAAAAGAGCTAGTGTTGGCTAGGATGTGGAGAAAGTGGAGCCCTCACACACTGCTGGTAGGAACGTAAAATGGTGCAGCCACTGTAGAAAACAGTCTAGCAGTTCCTCAAAAGACTAAACATAGAGTTGCCATATGACCCCGTGATTCCACTCCTAGGTTTACAACAAAGGGAAATGAAAACATGTCCACACAGAAACTAGTACAGAAATGTTCATAGGAGCATTATTCATAATAGCCAAATAGTGGAAATAACTCCAACATCCATCAGATGATGAGCAGATAAAATGTGGTGTATCCATACAATGGAATATTATTCAGCCATAAAAAGGAATGAAGTTCTGATACATGCTACAATATGGAAGGACCTCAAAAACATCACACTAAGTGAAAGAGGCCAGACACAAAAGGTCATTGTGTGATTCCATTGATATGAAATGTCCAGAACAGGCAAATCCAGAGACGGAAAGTAGATTAGTGGTTGCTAGGGCTGGGGGAGGGGAGATGAGGGCAACAGCTAATGACTGCAAGGTTTCCCTTGGGATGATGGAATTGTTCTAAAATTGATTGTGGTGATGGTTGCACAACTCTGTGAATAAGCTAAAAATGACTGAACTGTACACTTTATTATTTTTTTTTTTAAAGATTTTATTTTATTTTTCCCCCCAAAGCCCCAGTGGATAGTTGTGTGTCGTAGCTGCACATCCTTCTAGTTGCTGTATGTGGGACTCGGCCTCAGGATGAACGGAGAAGTGGTGCCTCAATGCGCACCCGGGATCCGAACCCGGGCCACCAGCATCGCAGCGCGTGCACTTAACCACCAAGCCACAGGGCCGGCCCTGAACTGTACACTTTAAATGGGTGAACTGTATGGTATGTGAATTATATCTCAATGAAGCTTTTACATACAAAACAATACCAAGCAAAGCCATCACTGTTGGGGATGTCCAGAGCACCGTCTGAGGACGCTTCATGTCCCCAGTGCAGCTTCCATGGTTCTCGTTTCTTGTGCTCTTATTCATTTGACTTCATTTCAGAACTTCTGCTTCTTAAGCAAGCTTCATTTACCCCAAAAGCCAGATAAGAGGACGGTGTTGCGTAAATGCCTTCCCTAGACTAGCTTGCACCTCCTCAGGAATAGGTGAGAAAGAACATCCCTTCCTTCCTTCCGAGACCAGGTCTCACACTCCTCAGGGACAAAGTCACAGGTAGTGAGAGCAGCCCTGGAGGTTACCAAGGTCCCTAGCAAGAGATCTGGTCATCGGTGAGGGCTGGACACCAGAGACAGGATAGGGTTGTCTGTGGGGTCATTCAGGAAAGAAAAGCCATCTGGAGTATTCCCATTCCCTCACTGAGATCCCCAAATGCCATGGAAGAATGCCAGGGCTCACTGAAAGGGCAAGGGACATGCCAAGGTCGAAGCTGTCCCTGGCTGAGAGTGCAAGTGTCCAGTGGGGAGGCCCCAGGCTGTCTTGGTCATGTGGTCCAGGCCTGGCCTGGGGCCGCAAGGCCAGATCCCTCCTGGGCCTAGGCCCAGCCCAACCTGCTGACCTGCTGCCCCTACCCCTAAGGCCACACGTGCAGAGATGCACAGGGTGGCAGGGTCTCCCTCCCGAGTTTGGGGTGCGGCCAGCGACCCAACTCTGGGCGCCTTCTGGGAAGGGGAGCTGGCACCACCGGAAGCCCCGTGTTGTCATGACAACACCCCACACTCCACCAACATTGCCAAGTTCTCCCTGTGGGTGGGTGGGCTGGGGACGCCTGGAGACCCCACAGGCAGCAGTGGGAGGAGAGATCGCAAACGCCTCGGGGCTAGAGAATGTTGTCCCCCGGCCCCCACTGCTGCCCTGAAGCCAGGTGCAGGGCACACAGCAGTGGGGCCAGGGCGCATGCCACCCTGTCCCGGGGGGTGCCCCCCATCCTGTCCCTGGCAGCCCCCAACCCTGTCCCAGGCACCTCCTCATCCCATCCTGGTGCCCCCCCAACCCCATCCCGGGTGCACCCTCCCCCCAATTCCATCCTTGCTTTTCTACTTTGCATGCTGCTCATATTGACAAATGTGCATCCAGCGAAGGATCCTGGCGCCTGGGTCATTTCCCCGCCACCCCTAGCCTGTCCTTTCTGGGTCCCAGGCCTGTGCCCGCTCCCCAGGAAGTCCCCTCTGTGGTCAGATGGCCCACCCATCTGGCATGGGCGCTGCTCTCAGGCCCTCGTGTGGGCCAGCTCACTGCCACCCTCTCCTCCTCCAAGTCCCCCGTCCAGGCCCCAGTGACCTCAGGCAGGACGCCAGCTCTGCCACCAGGTTTTGCACTTAATTCTGACTTGTTTGTGATGGCCGTGAGTCCTGTGCACCCCCAGATTAGAAGGAAGTTGGGTCAGGCTCATGAGGCTGGTGTTTTAGGACCAGGGCTCCGTACTGATGGGAGTCTTGTCCTGTCAGGAGGGGCTGCCACCCTCCCCCCAACACATACATACACACACGCACGCACACACACATGCGCGCACACCTAACCCAGGACTCAACTCAAGACCCTGATGAGTGTCAGGACAGAGCCTCCCTAGGTCCATGGGATGAACTTATACAAAGAAACGGCAGGCTGCTTGGTACTGCGAGTTAGACCTAACTTCCTGGACAGGGAGTGAGAACAAGGCCCCTCTTCCCTCCCCCCTGCTTGGGTTGTTCCAGATGAGAGTGCCTCCTCGCCTGGGTCAGGAGGAAGCTGGTGCTGCTGCAGGGATGGTTGTTGCGTCCCCCGTCCTAGGGAGTGCCCCCTCCTAGGGAGCGGGTGGTCCTCAGGGAGCACTCACCAGAAGGGCGGTGGGGCCCCTGCGCAACCCCCAGTGGTGTAACTGTCAAGGAGACAAGTCAGTGCGCAGTGAAGGGCAGGCCACCATGGACAGCCCTGAGCTCCAAGGTCCTTGGGAGGCAGAGGGAAAGGAGAGGGGTCCACTCTGCTGGTGGGGGTCTAGAGAGGCTATGGCCGTGGTCTGCGCCTCCCCTGAACACTTCAGGCCATCTGTTGCCTCCGCGCCTACCCCTGGCCTGGGACCTGTCGCTACAGAGGGACAGGGTCACGGCCCAGAGAGGCAGCCCACTCCTCGTCAAAGGTGAGAACTGCCCTCGGGGCCACCGTGCGGTCCTGGGGACAGATGAAGGTGCATTACCAAAAGCAAGCAGGCAGGGCCCAGCAGCCAGACTGGTGCTGGCACTGCCAGTTTCCCACAAAACCCCTGAATCAGCTGGCAGAGTGCCTCCTCCTGCCTGAGGTGTGCACTGCACCTGGTCAGGCACTGTCACACTGAAAACCCAGGTTTCCAGCTCCTCTCTGGGAACCCCAAACCTGGCAACATAGCCGCACCCCATTGTGCCTCTGGGTGGAGGCTGTGGAGACTCCCTCAGGTTGGGACGCCCTTGCCCAACATCTCTTTCCTTGCCACTGCCTGCTCGCTCCCTGGGGCATCTTCCCACCTGGGTATCAGGACTCCAAACCAGCCTTCCAAACCCTCACCCTGGAGGCACCAAAATACCCACCCTCTCTCATTGTGAGGGGTCTGAGGACCAGCCACCAGCCCTGGGAGTCACACAAAACCACGTGAGTAAGGAAAGGCTGCCAGCATCCCGTCTAAGGGAGGTGGGGCCAGAGCACTGCCCTGCACCTTGTTGCAGGTAGCTGCCCAGAGGTGACGGTCAGACCCCAGGGTGTGCTCAGCGCTGGAGCCCGGGCCTGCCTTCTGCCCACACCCAGCCAGAGCAAGAACCTCCACCTGCTCCTGGGTCCCCAGCCTCCACGTGGTACTGCCAAGGCAGGTGCCCTCGAGTGAGTGCCCCGTGAAAGCCAAGGGACACCAGAGGGGGAGCCACCTCTCACCCACCATGGCACTCCCATGCACCCCAGTCCACAAGGTGGCGGGCCACGCAGGCGTCAACTTTAATGAGCTGACCTGTTCGGGGGGCTAGGAGGGTCCTTTTGTTCTTGCTGGGCGCTGAAGGATCATGAGGACCCCAGGGCCTCTGCTCCTGCTTGCTTCTCACAGACAGGAGTGAAATCCCAGTGAGATTGTTTAATTCCAAAATGAACTGTGAATCAGGGAAGTCATTTCCATCCCGTGGAGCCTCCACTTGACTGCTGACAGCTGGGAGCCAGCAGTTGGACGAGTCCTGGGTCTCCAGCAGGTACCCGAGCCCCAGATGCAGGGAGTCCCATGGACAAAAGGGGGCTGCGCCTGCTGGAGCTGGTTCCATCAGCACCTCCGGAAGACCCAGTGGGACCTGCTGGCTGTCCCGGAACGTCCCTTCTCAGCAGGGCCAAGCCTCTGTGTACAGACCCACCAATGACGAGGGGCAGTCAGGGCTTCTGGAGACATTGATCCAGCAGGGACCACCCCTGCCAGCCCGCCACCCCCAAAGGCTGACACAGAAGCACAGAGAGGTTCCCACCTCCCAACCTACGTGGAAACTGAGCATGTCCGGAAGCCAGGCCAAGGTAGGGACCCCTAAACTAAAGCCCCCCACCAGCTAATGGGAGCAGCAGGAAGAAGTAAAAAGGGTGGGGCCCTAGGTGTGCTGCACCTTCCAATAGAAGAGAGCGAGCTGCGGAGCTGCGGCCTGTAGAACTGCATGGGGCTGGGCCAGGAAGTGTGACTGGGGCCAGGAGTGTCAGGCCTGGCTGTGGTCCTGTGGGAACCACAGCCTCAGAAGCCGCGTTTGGCTGGAGAGTTGAATGTTGCCATTTAATCCAGAAATGAGAGCAAGACAGCAGCACCAGGGAAATGCTCCACAGTCATCCTGATAGTGAGCCCCGAGTGCGCTGCACTGCTCCGTCAGCACCCAGCCAGCCTGGCCCGGCGCTGGCCTCCTGGGAGCCCAGTTGGGGCTGGCCACACACCCAAACTCTCTGCGGGCCCCAGTCCTTGGGGAGTCCCTGCGAGTCCCACTCGAGGAGGCTGAGTTATGAGGCTGCCACTGGGTCCACCTGCCTGGGCCTGGCCTTGACGGGGACTTTCTCTGTGGAGGAAACAAACAGATGCTCGTCAACTACAGAGGACCCCAAAGGCGGAAGCTTCCAGAGGACAAGAGGAGACAGGGAGCCAGGTCCCCGGGCTTCATGCTCTGGCAAGAGCCTGCACGCCCAGGGGGAAGCCAGGTTACACACAGAAGCCAGGCAGGGCCAACAAAAGGAGCAGGCACCCGGTGCATGCACTCAGGAAGGGACAGCGGGCCCAGCGCCCCCCACAGGTCCCAGAGATGGGGAGGGGGTGCCAAGGAGCAGAAAGAAACATGAAGGAATTACGAACGACAAGCCAGGCTCCATGGAGTATTTCTGCAGGCATGTGTTAAGCGATGCCACAGGGACAGTCATCCCAGGGCTGTGACGTTCAGAGACGGCTGCTCCTGGGCTGGCCCCGGGAGAACCTGCACTGCTAAACTGGCCTTTCTCGGCTCTAATTCTGGGACACGCCCCTTCAAATGGGGTTCAGCTCCTACAAGGTTACCTAAAACCCTCGGAAACCCACGCCCAACCCAGGGCAAGGCCCCAAGCTCAGCCTGAGCTGGCGCCAGCAAGGTCGCCCACCACACTGGAGAGTGGGGACCTACCTTTGCCAAGCAGGAAGGGTAGGCCCCTCGGCCGGGGCCTTTTGCTTTGTTCTAGAATTCACTGTGCTCCTAAAGACATAACAAGGAGAATACCTGGGATCTTTTCGGGAAGGGGCTCTGAAGGAACCTCTGGCAGCTCTATTTGTTCCTGCAAGAAACAGATTTGTTCCTGCAAGAAACAGAGAGGAAAGGCCGTGAGATACAATCCGTTAGGTCCACCTTTATCTTTCTCTAGGAGAGGAAAGGATCCTGTTTACTTAGCTGCTCTCGGCTGGATTTAAAACAAACAGAATCTTCCTGCCCAAAAGCCCCAGAGTGCATCTTCCTCGGTTTCCGGCAGCTCTGAGACTCGAATCACCCGGGGGGCAAAGTGGCCACTACAGGGTAGCTTCTCCCTACGGTCCAGAGCCTGAGGGGCTTCCCCGGAGATCTCAGCTCAGATCAGGCGGTGCTAGGACCGTGGGCTTTGAAGCAGGCGCCCAGGTCATTCTGGCATCCACAAAGGGCCAGGAGCAGCAGCGGCGCCTCTGCTATGGTTTCCCTGAGGTGGCAGCACTCTGGGGTGGGTCTGTGGTGGAGCTGGCAGTCCCAGTGAGCGCTGGGCTGCCTCTCGGGCAACATGTGGCACTTTTACCTCCCAGCTGGCCTTCCCTGGCAGCTCACGAGGCACTTAGGCCCTTGGGAGGAAGTAAATTAGCAGGGGCACAGGGGACAACCAAGGGCAGCGAGCAGCGGCACTAATACCTGCTCTTCCTGGGTCAGCCTGCAGGACGGAGATGGCAGGCTGGTGGGCACAGTGGGCTGGTGGGCAAGACAGGATCTGGCACGCTGAGCCAGAGGCCCAGAGATGGAGGCTTCCTCCATCAGGGAGTAAACACAGACCTCAGGGCCTGGACGTGACAGTCCAGCCCATTAGGGGCCTCCAGCACCAACGTGTGCAGGCCAGGTGCACGACAGTGAGTGACCCATACACAAGTGTGGAAAAAACGCCCATGTGATCAAAAACCACAGTACGGTCCACCGGGGAAGGAAGGGGCCGAAGGGGCTAGGAATTGGCATTTCTGCCCTGTCCAGGCACACTTGGTTACAGGTCACTCCAGCTGCCTGCAACACTCGGGTAGACCACCCTCAACTGTTCTTTCCAGGCCTGCTGTCAGCCAGGTGGACGTGGAGAATGAGCCTCAGTTGGGCACAAATGTTAGTCATTTCAGGAAGGAAAACCAGCTGCAAAACCAGGACTGCGTGCTCAAGTGAACCCCAATGCAGGTGGCTGCCCAAGGCAAACAACCACGATGGGCAGAGGCCTCCTGCGGGTCCTAGCACCTGAGTGATTGTGCTCAGTCCTGGGGGTCCTTAACCTGAGTAATTGTGCTCAGTCCCAGGGGTCCTTAACCTGAAAGATTGTGCTCAGTCCGGGGGGTCCTAGCACCTGAGTGATTGTGCTCAGTCCTGGGGGTCCTTAACCTGAGTGATTGTGCTCGGTCCTGAGGGTCCTAGCACCTGAGTGATTGTGCTCAGTCCCGGTGGTCCTATCACCTGAGTGACTGCGCTCCATCCTGGGGGGCCCATTACCTGAGTGATGGCGTTCAGTTCCTCCAGGATGGCATCTTCGTCCTCCTGAGTGAAGCTTCCTGCCAACAGCTCATCTATTTGCTGTAAAATGAGGAGCCAAGGTAAGGAGCGTGGCCAGCTGGGGCAGAGGGGAAAGGTGGCCCCTTGTGGAGGAAGGAGCGAGCCCATGGCTGAAGGTGCCCTCACTTGAGAGAAGGTGGACACCACACGGCATGGGCAGGCATAGCTCTTGAGGGCAGCTGCTGGACATTCACTAAGTGGCAAGCGTACTCGCTGGCTGGTGGAAGTGAGCCCCAACGACCCAGCCACACCTACCCGCTGATACTCCACAGCCTCCTGGGTCTCGTCCAGGATCCGTTCCACTTCTTCTATGGACATCACCTAATCGGGTCAAAGTTTTTGAGTCTTGTCAGTGAGGCAAATAATAAAAGCCCACATTAAGGCCACCTGGATTGTCAGGGCACAAGCCTCACTGCTCTGTTCCTGTTTAAATGAAGCCAGACCAAGGGGCATGGGACATGACACGTCTCTGGTCATTTCTGTCCCAGGCAGGGCTCCACCCACAGAGGCTACAGAGCTGTCAGACCAGTCTTTTAAGAATCTCAACTGCACTCCTTAGATTCCTGCTGGCCCTTCTCACCACATCTTCTGGCACCCAAATCAACCCTAACAGTTTCAGGTAAAAATAAGTAAAAAGTGTAAAAAATTTTCTCTGGGCAGGTGACTTGATTTCTTATGAGTGCCAAGTGCAAAGAAGCACCTTTGCTTGACTGGCAGGTACACTGCCACATCTGACACTCAGAAAAGCGGCATAACCTCAGCTCTCTGCCCAGCCCCACCTGCTGTCCACTCACCAGACTCCCAGGAGTGAAGGGGGGTGGGGGTGGGGGCTGTGGCACAGCTTCCCTGGGCCTCACTCCTCTTTTCACCATCCACCTCCATTGTGCTTCCTGAGACCAGGCTATGTTCGCCTCCTCGAGGAAGCCCTCCCGATTAGTTCACCACACCCTACGCTACCATAACCAGACTTTCCCTCCAGTCACATTACCATCTGTGGACCCAATTTACAGCTTGTGCCCATCTCACCATTCTTATGTCAACATCTCTGAGTGTGTCTGTCCCACTAGACTGTCACCCTCTCCCAGTAGTGACTGGCTTTCCCACGCTCCTGTCTGGCACAAACACCTCCTGGCCGATGGCTTGGGTGCAGGCGTGGCCTCAGGGACAAGACCCCCTCTTGTTCCACTGGGCTGCCCCTCCTCTCGGCTGCCAACCCCACGGGGACCTACCTGGTGCATCTTATTCAGACACTCATTTCCAAACTGCAGCCCTTCAATCACCTTCATTTCAATCTGGGTGAACTCAATACTCTGGACCTGAGGAGGAAACCGAACCAGACCTGTGTGGTCAGGGGCCTGCCTCCCGCCTCATTCAGATCAACGGACAGGATTTCGATGATGCTGTTACCGATCAAGTGCTTCTAGGCTTAGGGCAGACCATCCTGTGCCTCCCTCCTCCCTCTTGTCCTCTCCCATTGCCCTCACCACTACTGGGGTCTCGGCAGGACTGATGAGAGTCCGGGAAGGAACTCAAAGTCCCGCCAACTGCTTATCAGCAGCTCTGGTCAGCAAAAGAGCAGAACCATCGCTCGGGGCCCTAATGCCAGGGACCCTCCAGGAGCTTCCGCTGATCCCAGCACCTCTTCAGTCACCAGGGCAGACCCTAGCCCACCCTCACCACCCAGAAGTGGCCCAGCCCCCCATCCACGATCCTGCAAGAGCCAACCTGCCCCAACCCATTAAGACCATCAGGTTCCCATCAAAGATCCTCCTCCACCACCAGGCCTGACCCCTCCCTTAGCCTGCCGTGAGAGGTTCAGGAAAGGAAAACGACACGTTCCATTCCTCCGAGGGGATCTCATGCTGCCTGCACAGCCTTGCAGCCCCTGGGCTGAGTGGCTGTCCCCACTCGGCCTACCATTGTCTCCAGGCTGGTGATCTGGTTCTCCGTCTTGTCCAGGAGCTGCTCCCGGTATCGCTTCTTCTTAAGCAGCAGCTTGGCCCGTCTGCAGAAGGAACCCAAGCAGTCAGCCAGCAGCGGCACCTGAATGGCTGGCCCGCGCTAAGCGGCCTCCTGGGCCCCCCCACCCCTTGCTCTAGGCCCCCTGGAGCACAGCCCAGCCCGGGGTGCACTCACTCCTTCCGGCCGTCCCGCAGGAGCTGCCGGGCAATCTCCCGCTCCCGCTCCAGCTGCTGGGTGATCCTCTTTTGGTACTGCTTCAGCTTGTCCCGCTGCTGCTTCAGTTGCTGCCGAGAGAGCAGGCGTCACATTAACACCGAGCCAATGCTGCACTGGACCCTCGCCAGGCCACCCAGCGCCCAGCTGGCCAGCCTGGAGGCTGCAGGGGTCACTGAAGGGACGCTCACAGGCCAGGATGTCCTAACCACCACCACTGGGGGTGCACCCTCTAAAGCAGTGCTCTCCATGGGGACAAGTCTGCCCCATGGGGGACAGGGGACAATGTCTGGAGGCACTCCTAGCTGTCACAACTAGGGGGTACTACAGGCATCTAGTGGGTGGAGGCAGGGATGCCGCTCAACGTCCTGCAAGGAAACAAGGCAGTCCCCTGCAGAGAGTCAGCGGGGCTCAACGTCCACAGTGCCGAGTGGAGAAGCCGCCCAGGAGTCCACACCCATGGCCCTGCCACTGGCCCACCCAAATGCCCTCTGTGAGGAGTGTGAGTGCTCAGGGGCAGGCCAGGGAGTCCTGCCAGTGCCTCGACAGCTCAGAGACAATACAGAAGATGCTGCCGACGTCACCCGAGTGCCACCACCCACCAGCCGTGGGAGGGTTGGGGCCTTCCCTCCAGGCATTGCTCCTCGGTGGGCTTCAGCCGTTTCCTGATGTGTGCTGAGCTCCCCTTCTTGTCACTTATCACCGTATCTGAGTGGAGAGCACAGCACCTTCGGGTGATGTGTTTACGTGATCTCGCCCAGCACCTTGGATCCCTTGTTCTGGCCCAGAAAGGAGACATGGCCATTTACGCACGCCAGTCAAGCCTTCCTGTTTTAGGCCATGTATATTTCTTCAAATCTCATCATTTCAGATACTGCTGTGGTGAGCAGCTGCAGGCAAAGGGCATTTCTGATATGTATGATTATATCTTTAGGGCCTATTACTGGGAGTTATTTAATGCATGTCTTTAAGACTCAACATGGTGACAAATTATCCACAGTGTAGACATGGTCAGCTCTGTCTGAAAGACCCTGCTTCACAGCTCCCTCCACACCACGTTCTCTTTGGTGTTTGTTCCAGTGCGCCACGCAGCCTGTGGCTCAGGCTCGGTGATGACTGCATGTCCTCTCCTTGCTGCAATGAAAGGTGCCCACTATGCCGGCCCCACAGCCCAGAGACCCCACGGCCAGCCTACCAGCCTGGTCTTCCCACCTCTGGCTGCCTTTTCTCCCCTGGACACCGGGCGTCCACCCCTGAGGGCCATCATCCATGCTGGCTGTGTACAAAGTATCAGAGAGGAGCCAAAGGGAGGCAGGTGTGGCCAGGCTGCTCCCTTTGTAAAGCATGAGGTCTCAGCAGAGGGTCACAGGACAGCACGCTGGCCCTTGAAGTTGCTCAGTTCAGCTTTTCATCCCAGGATAACATCAGGCACTTGAAACTCCAAGGAGGAGAACGAGTACGCTCTGCATTGCCTGCAGAACCCACCTAAGTGAATCCTTGGCAAGCAGAAGGGCCTCCTTGAAGAGAAACCCAAAGGTGAGTCCTTAGAGAAAAAAGAATCACCTTGGGGGCTTCCTGCTCTGCCAGAGGAGACGCCGTCAGCCACGGAGCAGGGGGTTGGAGGCTGGGCACACCTGTGGGGCAGGGCCAGGCGGGGCCTTGCTGTCTGGAGGGATGCAAACCACTGCCTCCCCACTGCTAATGTACCCAAAGCTGTGCCGATTTTCTCTAGTGACAAACAAGCCTGTTGTTTCTTCTTCATCTGGGGAACTTTGGCTAATAACCTTTTATAACTTACAGTTTCAGAAACCAAAGTAATAAACATCTGTCATTTGAATTTCTCTCTTAGTATAAAAATAAAGTATTTTTGCCGCAGAAAATTTAGAAAAGAAAGCATGAGCAATGGTGAACTCTGCTCACATCTGGGACTATCTCCTTCCAAACACGTTTTTGTCTTTACAAAAACGGATTCATCTGGACACATCATTTCACTTAATCTATCACGCGATTCTTTCCACAGAAACTAACTTTTACACGGAGGTCTCCTGGAAGAGATTCTTGAATCTACAAGTAGGAACATCATCACCATCATCACCACCACCACGGACCTGCGAGGGTGCGGGCCTGCACAGCACCGGGCCCGGAGCGGCGGCACAAGCTGTGCCTTAGGGACTGATCAGGACGCTGAGATTAGACCATAGACCGAGGCAGGCACTGAGCCACCCCGAATCTTAATCACAGGCTCCACCTGTTCCGTCGATTAGAGTCTCGCCCTCTTTAAATCCCCGTCCCGGGAGTCCGGCCACCCGGTCCCCACGACCTCCTGCCCGCGCCGGCAGCGCAGGCGTGGACGCAGACTCAGGGCCTCTCCCGGCGACCCCGGGGCGGGAGCGGCGAGGCGGGAGCCCGGGGCCAGGTCACAGCAGGACCGCAAAATAACGCGACACTCGCCCCCGCCCCCTGGGGTCGGAGTCAGGGTGGAGCCGTCGCTCGGGGTCGCCCACGGTCCACGAGCGGTAGAGCCCGACCAGGTCCGTGGGAGCGCGGCCCGCGGAGAGGGTCCCGGGCGTCCGAACACGCACACGCGAGACGCCGGCAACCCGCCCCACGCAGCTTCCGAGGCTGCGACCACCGCGTCGCGAGGAAGCCGCCAGCGCGGGCCCTCCCTCGGGGCTAGGCAGCGGAGGGGCCGGAGCCCGCGGCGGGGCGGGAGGAGGACAGCCCTGAGCCGTCCTGCCTGTTTCCCCGCCCCAAGCCCACCCCGTTCCTCACCAGGATGGCCTTGTCCTGCTCCGTCACCCGGCTCTGCTTCTTGCGGCCGAACAGGTTGCCCATGGCGACCCCGGCCCGACAGAGCCCCAGCAGCACCCCCACTCTCGCGGCCACCGTAGTCCAGACCCGCCCCGCTACGGCGGCCGCGCGGGGCCAGGCGCCGCAGAACGCGAACCGCGCGGAGGGCGGAGCCGCGTGTCAGGACTCGGGTTCGAGCCCACCGCCCCCAGGGCCTGGGTGCCGGCTGCCAACACAGAGGCCCCCTCGGACCCACACAGAGATGTGGCAGGTATAAAGTGACGGTAGGGCCCAGAATGCTCTAGATGGTGTATTTCATGTGCATTTCCAGAATGTCCCCACCTGTGCAGATGGAGACTAAAAGTTCCAATCTCCTATTTAAGTGGGATCTTTGCAAGTTAACAGGGTGGACGATATCCCCAGGCCATCAGAAATCTTGTGCGTGAGTCACTGCCCCCTGGCTGGTGCTGACCATAAAATGCTGCATTTAGTGATGTTATGTACATCCTTTTGGGCTTAAAAGTGTCCGCTGAAATGCTTCCTGGGCAGCACATGTCCACTTGGCCATGCGGCACAGATAACTTCGTTCTCCCACCACCCCCTGTGTCCTCCTGGCCTGTTGGTCAGTGCCCGCATTTGCCCAGTGTGGCCTCTCTCAACTTCCGGTTCCATGTCCCCTGGCAGAAGTCTCCCTCCCTTGGGAGTAAGAAATGTTTATGGGGCATTAGGGGTTACAGGGTGGGAGCTGCTCACACCTGCAGCTCTGGTTCCCATCTGTGTGTCCTGGCTGTGGGTCTCTGGTTTAGAGTGTACACTGTGTCTCATAGGACAGCACCCAGCCCTGTTTGGTCAGCACAGCTGATCCCATAACTGAGTCTACAGCAGGCCATGCCCCTTCTCTACCAGCCCAGTGGCTCGTGGGTGGTGGGTCTATGATAAGATGAGGAACCCTTGGCATGTGCCCATTGCCTCACCACTTTCTGTGAAATGACTTCCTTGATCAGAAGCAGTGTTGTGTGGGCAACATGATGGCAAGTCTCGAAGTCTACAATGGTGCTGCTGGCAGAAGCATCACGGGCAGATGGGGAGGTAAATCCATATCCAGAGTAAGTGTCTATTCTGGTGAGGACAAGTCACTGCCCCATGATGGAAGGGGTCCTGCTTAGCCAACCTGCTATCAGATGGCTGGCTGTTCCCCCCAGGGAGTGGTGCCATTTGGGGGGTTCAGTGCTGTTGACCGGTTGGGCACTCAACAGTTATGGTGGTCAGGTGAGCCTTGATGAGGGGAAGTCTGTGTTGCTGAGCCCATGCATGGCCTCCATCCCAGCCACCGTGGCCACTCTGTTCACGGGCCCATGGAGAGAGCAATGGGGGGCCTGGGGAAACCTGTTGGCTGACGTCCACGGAGCGTGCTACTGCATCCACCTGGCTTTTGAGAGCCTCCTTGGCAGAGGGTGCTCTTTAGTGAGCCTTCCCCTGGGACACAAATATCTGTGCCCACTCTGAGAGGTCCATCCACACACCTCTTCCCCAGATTTCCTTGTGACCAATCTTCTAATCCTGTTTCTTCCAAGTTCCTGATCATCCACTGAAACCGTTAGCAGCTGCTGTGACTCAGTACAGATCTGTACTTCTTGCCATCTCTCACTCCACATGAAGTGGACAAACAAATGTACCATTCAAAGTTCTATCCACTGGGAGGATTTTCCTTCATCGCTGCCCTTCAAGGTCACTACTGAATGGGCTCATAATACTGCAGCCACGTGCACCAGCACAGTGTGCAGACCACCTGTAAACAGGCTGGAGTTTTTTCTTCCTCACTCGATTGGACGTAAGGAACACCCAGGAGGCCACAGGTGTGGATAGCGGGAGAGGAGTTGATGTTGAAGAAATCTGAGCCACCTGCTCATGCAGCTTCCTTGTCCCTTCCAGACCTGTCCAAGGGCAGCTCATATTCTGTGTCCACGTGGTGGTAGATTGCTGCTGTGCATGCCCGGCTTCATGGCTGCATGGGTCAGACAACACCCAGATCACCGTGTGACACTCGAGCTGCAATGATATCCCTTAGTTAGGTGTTCGGAGTCTACTGAGGCCAGCAGCAAGCCAGAAACTGCTTCTCAAGAGGAGAATAATCGTGACATGTGCCAGACTTTGGACACCAGAACCTTTACTGAGGTGAGGGGCCCCTGAATTTTCGTGGGCTTACCTCCCATCCTCTGGTTTGCGTATGTCTTACCAAGACATCTAACGTACCTGCTACTCCCTGCTCCTGAGGTCCAATAAGCATGTCATCAGTGGATCAGTGAGATGTTTGTGGAATCGCCACTCTCTCATGGCAGACAGCAGGCCAGTGACATGATTCTGAGTCAAGACTGTGAAGGTGTACAGTTGGCCAGGCCAGGTCAAAGCAAACCGCTTCTGTTGGTCTTTGCAAATTGGGATGGAGGGAAGAAGCACTCGCCACGCTGACAGGTGCCAGAGGTGTGTTGGTTTGCTCCAGAAAAAATACTCCTTGTGGGACAGCAGCTGCAATTGGATTCACCAACTGATTAAGTTTACAATAATCCATAGTCATACTCCAAGATCTGCCTGACCCCTGCATGGACCAAACGGGTGAGTTAAATCGGGGGCATGATCGATATCACCACACCTACGCCTTTCAGTTCCTTGGTGGGGGCACCAATCTCTGCATTTCCCCAGGGGTGCAGTATTGATTTGGGTTTCCTGTCTTGGCAGGGAGGGGAAGTGGCTTCCACTGAACGCTTCTTACCATAATTGCCCTCATGAGAGGCAGTACGTGGATACTGCCAAGTGCCAAGTGTGTCTGGTCCAATTATACATTTGAGAACTGGGGAGAGAACTGCAGGGCGGGTCTGTGGGCTAACTGGTCAGACTTGGGCTAAGATTGCACATACCTTCTGACCACTATAAGCCCCCTGGACTGGCGGCTCACAGTGGTGTGTTGGGTCCCCAGGCATTAGCCTGTGTTTAAAGCCTGTTTAAATCTCAGAATTCCTGATGTGCTTGGGTGTTTCCTTTCCCCCGTGCACAGTGACTTCCATAAGCAGATGCAGGGCCCTCTGGGGACACCGTGGAGGTGGATTTATAGCATTCCTTGCAGCAGTGCTTCAGGGTTCTTCCTCAGGGGACCCGGCCCCTCAGTCACAGGGCCCCGGAGAGTGGACAGACTGGAGGGGGTCTGCAGGAAGCAGCCCACGGGGTGGGAGGGGAACTCACTGAAGAGTCTGTGGCATGCCCACCACCGGCAGCTGCACCATAGCAGGAGGAAAGCGTGCTGGAGCCAGAGAGGGAAGCCCCTTCCTCTGTGGGGCCTGGTGGTGTCGCCCCAACGCTCTACTGATGAAGCCACCATTGGGCAGGCTGGCAAAGGAGAAATGTCTGCAGGGTCTGGCTCCATCATCACAAGCCAGCCAAAGAAGGCGAGTCCCCAGCAGGCCTTTACTCAGTGATGTTCCATGGCTTCTGAGACCAGGTCGGAAAAGGCAACACTTGGGATGTCTTTTGGGATGCTTGCTCTTGGAGCTCAGCCCTCAAGTCAGAGGGGCCGGGCAGCCCCTGGAGAGGCTTGCCTGGAGAGGAGCTGCCAGCCAGCAACACCTGCCCCCTCGTGAGTGTGCCATTTTGGAGGGGGAGATCCCGGTCCTCCATCGGCCGGGCCACCCCAGCTGATATTGCATGGAACAGGAATTAGCCTTCTCTGTTGACTCCGCCCGAATTGCAGATTCGTGAGCTGGGTAAATGGTGGTGGTTGTTTTAAGCCATGAAGTTTTGGGGTGGTTTGTTACACAGCAGCAAATAACCAGACAACGATGGTTCAGGCACCTTGGGAAGGCTGGGGCAGGTGTGCAGTGCATACTTCTTAGAATCTTTCCCAGGGGAACCCATTCTCCCCTCTGTTCCGCGCCTGCTGTCCTGGAACTTCGAGTCCTGGGTGTGAGGTCGTGACTAGTAAGGTGCTTCATGTCAGATCTCCATTTGCCAGATCTGGATTTTTTCCTTAATAATCAGTTTAAGCTTTCCTGGACTGTCTATCTTTTTCAGTTCTAGAGGTGCTTGACCAATTGGCCAGTGCCCAGGGTCCCTGAGTACCACCCATCGTGACTCCTGCTCTGAGTTTGCTGTCCTTTTCGGCAGCCCCACCCACCCTCTCTGGGCCGCACCTCTTCCGGTCAGGGGACCAGTTTTGATGGCAGCACGTCTGCCCTCACTCCTGGCCTGCACACCTCGGAGAGCTGTTCAAGAACCTGCATCCCCACAAAGAGTTTCTCAGGGCCTCTGTCAAGGGAGTGTGCTTCGGGGCCACAATGGGGACTCAGCAAGTGGGTTGCACCTGATAAATTCATGTCATGTCCTTGTCTCCCTTGGGGTCTCTCCTCTGCAGTATACCAGGAACCTCTGGCAGCTCAGCAGGGCCATGTTAAGTCCAAGTTTCTGTTAACAAAGGAGCAAACCATTAAGACTTCTCACAGATGGAAGCAAACAGTCGGGCCCAGAGTCTCTGGAGAGTGCACCTGGGTCGATGTCTGGCTCAGCCACTGCTGGCTGCCGCACTGTCCTGTGTAATCCCTCCACGACTCTCCAGTTTGAGTCAGAGGATCTCGATATTCTTGGGTTCAACAGAGTGCCACTCACCTCCCTGGAGTCAGCTGAGCTCTCACTGCAGTTTTGGGCCTGGAGGCAACGAGGGCTCACAAGGTGGGATCTCGAGGAGAATCAGCCTCTCCCTCACAGGTAACGGCCTCAGGTGTGATCTTCCCAAGAGGGGCCGCCTCGGACAGGGAGGAGGGCTGCTTCTGCTGGCAGGCAAGGCTTAGTGGACTATTGTGGCGGGGGTCGAGTTCAGGCCACTCAACTCGCATCGTTCTGACTCTTCCACACTCAGTGCTCTGACTTGGTGAGGCTGAGAATTCAATTTACGTTATAATCCTACAGCCCGCGGGGTGAAGCTTGAGGAATGATTTCCAGACACAACAGTTCTGCTACAAGTAAGGAGATTCTTTTATAGCAGTCCTACATAGTTCCTGATTTTCTGACTCTACC